GATCCCTTTTCGGGGATCCCGGGGTGGATATGGACATGTTCGGGCCCCCTGGGGCCAAGATTTGTCCATATCCACCGCCCCTCGGGGCACCAGGACGTCGGTTCCCAGGCGGCGGATATGGAGAACTCCCCGCCTCGCACCCGTGGCACCCAGAGCGGGTTGCCCAGTTCCGAACCAGGACGTTCACGTTGCTGTGCCGCCTCGGGGACGTGGCCTGAGCCCCTGGGGGCCCGGGGCCTGCCCCTCCCCCCAGGGCCTCGTCGTCGTCGTCGTCGTCCTCGAGCACGATACATACCGTCGTGTTAGTTCTGTCGGCGTCACCCCAACATACTTGAATGCCATGTGTGCGTCGCCCTCCCCCCAGGGGCGACGCGCGCACCGAGAAATCTCATAGTACATGCGTCGTGGTGGGCGCTTTCTGGCCACACCGGTCGGGAAAGAATCTACTACAAGATGGGTATGCTATAGGTTCGGGTCGGCCGCGCGCCTCGAAGGAGGACATGGTATTAGTTTGTCTCTGTGCGTCCCATTCTTCGGTTCTCCGGTCGTCCGAGACCGCCCGCGAGACCCCGAAACTCGCGCCACCACGACCCAAACGGGCTTGCAGACAGTTCACAAGAGAGCCCCAAGATGGCCCAAGAGGGCCCCGTAGCCATTTTGGCTCAAGCCTTTTGACTCGAGCTGCCGCTTGTGAACCGAACGTGCGGCGAAGAGCAGACTCCGCCGACTCGTGCTGTGCATGGGTGGTTGCCGGAGTTGACCAGCACGTCTATGGCTCTTCGCACGTGCCAAATACCAGTGGACATCGTGTGTGGTCTGACCGTCCACGTCGTGGCGTTGCTGGCCTGTTGGTTTGCCCTGGCCCGGTTTTCTCCGATTCCCCTCGTCCGTGGCCGCGAGTTCGCTGCGCTGCGAGGTCTGCAGGGTCTGCCCGAGACTCGGCCCGAGCCTGGGCCCGAGCCTGCTCCACGCAGTGGGCCTTTCTTCGATCTGGCAGAGCGCCCCAAGGGTGCTCAATTCACGGTGTCTTACGGGGAGCGAGCGGTCCCGCACGACATGCCAGCAAATGGCAAGGCAAATCCTTGGTGGAAGTCAGTTGAAGCTTGGAAGAACGGTTCTGTCACGAGATCGAAGCGTCAAAAGATGGTGTTTGTCACTGGCTTGCCACATTCTGGAACCACGTTGATGGAGTTGTTTCTGCGACAGTTCGATGGGGAGTTAAGCACGCTGTCCTTCGCCAAAACTAATCACAATCACGAGGGTAGAGATTTGATACCACACAAACAATACCCGCTTCCTGAGTATGGTGGCTCGTTGGGCGGCTACGGGAGCATGTGCGGCAATGAGGGTGGAAAATACTTACAGAAAGGTTTGCGACAAAATGAGGCGAGCTCTAGCGCCGTCCAGAAACAGATGCAAGTATTGACTTGGAAGTATTGGCGGCCACACTTTGAGCTATCGAAGCCAGGTCTGGTTGAAAAGGATCCGAGACATCTGTTGCGAATGCGAATGTGGCAGAACATGTTTCGTGATACCCACGATGTATTTCCAATTTTTACATTGATGCACCCTCTCGAGAGTATCAGTTATGAATCGTGCAGTCCAGTCGAGAACACCCGACTCGAATGGTAAGGAACTGGTTAAATTGCCACCGTGCTTTGCTCGAAGACCTGAAACACCTTCGGAATTATTTGGTTGTTCATTATGAAGCATGGTTTCTCTACCCGAATGACACGGCGCAGGCAATCGAAACGTATTTGAATCTCCAAGGTCGTGTCAATATGACTTTTGACGCACGCAGGCTGCATGCGCACGGAAATGTGTTTGCGTTGAAAGATAAATATTTTGGACGATGCAGCAATGTCGTTCGGAATTTCAGCAAGTCGGAGGCTGCGAAAGATTGGCCAAGTCGCCTTTACGAAGATGAGCTGGCAACCTATGGGTACGATTTGTATAATACCACTACTATCCACAAGCCGTCGGCATTCGGGCTTTGCCAGCTGGACGGCGTGCCTTGTCCCTGATTTGCAGCAATAATACTCAGAATTCCGAATTCCCTCGGAATTCCGTCGAAGCTCAATCAGTGCAACAGTACTACAAATTGCCATCGAGTGACCCATCGAATCGTCAAGGTTGGCTCACTCGGCGCTTCAACATGCTACAGTAGAGGAAGCTCATGATCAACACATGTTTCAAGCATGTCCTTCACCAAGGCCATCGCGCGTCTTTCCGGCGCCCTCTCCCTGCCTGGCCAGCTGCTTCTCGACGGCAATTCCGTGACAACCGCTTGCGGCCACAGCGTTTGGCTGTCTCGCGGACATCGGTGACTCCTCCCTCGCAGCTGCTGCCGGCCCACTTCGGCACGCCCGTCGCCTTGGGGCGCGCCGCGGGTGGCCCCCCCCGCGACCCGCGCGGCCCGCCGCGCGGCTCGCCGGGGCCCGTGGCCCGTCGCCCTGTGGCGCCCCGGGCTCCGAGGAGGGGAAAAAAAAGAAGATGGCCCAAGAGGGCCCTGAGATGGCCCGAAGATCACCACCCACTAAACCACCCCAACCCAACCCGAAGGCCTCAATTTGCCCTCCATTTCCAGTTGGGGGGGGGGTCGGGGAACATCGAAAAAACACGTATGGAACCCGTACCCCCCCAAACCCGAAATTGGGGTCTTCGGGTTGGGTTGGGGTGGTCTGGTAGGTAGTCAGAAGAGCGCCTTTAGATGGCCCAAGATGGCCCCAAGCCTCCCTCCGAAGCACTCCAGATCGTGACCTGGTCGTGGAGAAAGACCGTGCTTCGCAGCAAAGTGGCCCGAGGAAACCATCAGAAGCCCAAAAAGTCGCCCAGGAGGCCTCCAGAAACCCGCAAGAAACCCCAAACAGGTTTACGTCCAAGAGGCTTTCCAAGGAGGAGCCTCTGCAAGGAAAAAACATTGGGGAGGTCGGGGAATGGCTCGCAGGGTAAGGCGAAAACTACAAGGAGGCAGAGGATCTTTGATATCATAACGACGCCGACGACAACAAAAAACACAAGGTGTCAATTATTTTTTACTTGCTTACCCCTGTCTCATTCCGCGTGCATGCCGGGATGGAAGCACCAAGGTGCATGGCGCGAAGCGCCTGTGCAGCCTTGTACATTGTATATATATATATATATATATATATATATATATATATATATATATATATATATATTTATACATAGAAGTGGCACGTGTGTGCCAGGCTCATACAACAAGCTGAAGGGGCGTTTGAAGCAGGAGTGACATGCAACAGCGAAGTCGCACCCGAGCGCAAGTGGGGTTGCCACACCTTGCGATGTGTGTACCAGGGCCCCCCAGGAAGCCTCAGGAGGCATGACTTGGATACCAGAAGAGGCTCCAGGAGGCCCCAGGATTGTGAGTGTTGTGTGTGTGTGTGTGTGTGTGATGTGTGCTTTGTGTGGTGCGTGCTTTTTGTGTGTTGTCGTGTGTGTGTGTGTATGTTATGTTTGTCTAGCGTGTGATGTGTTGGGCGTGATTTGTGTCTCTGTGTGTGCATGTAGTTCTGAAGCCCCAGGAGGCCCCAGGAGGCCCCAGGCGGCCTCAGCAGGCCCAGGAGAACTCCAGGAGGCTCCGAGGCGGGGTCTGGGGTACCAGAAGGTCCAGAAAGCCCCAGGAGGCCCCAGGAGGTTCCAGGAGGCCCCCAGGAGGCTCCGAGGAGGGGTCTGGGGCTCGATTTTGGGAGGATGTCTCAGGCGAAACCGCCATTCTCTGAGAATCGGGGTCAAAATTATTGAAATTACCATGTGTTTTTGAAGGTTTTATGTTAAATGTTGAAATTCCCATGTGTTTTTGGACCCTGACGTCACGATCTGCGTGAGGGGTGCCACCGATTTTCAGAATTTCGAGGATGTCCCGAGCGAAACGGCCAGAAACATCGCGGACGACGTGCGCATTAATCGCCTCTGAGCTCTACTCCCTCGGAGAGGTGCGTATGAGAATATCTCTGAGTTGGGGGGCCCCTGGGCGGTGCCTGTCATCTCCATGGGGGGTGCAGGGCGCCCCCGGGAGCGTCCGAAGCGTCCCGGAGGGCCCCTGGGACCGCCAGGAACAGTTCGAGACCGCTCAAGACGGCCCGCGAGCGCTCCAAGACGCGCATAGATAGCCTCAGGAATGGCCAGGAAGGCCCGAAGACGTTCCAAGAGAGCTCCATGAAGCCCCGAAGGCATCCCAAGAGGCCTCCCAAGAGAGCCCCGACAAGCCAACATCGTTGATTTTTTTTTTTCGAGGTTTTTGGCCTTCTCGCTTTTTCGGGGTTCCGACGCTCCAAGGCCGTCCAAGAGTCTCCCAAAACCGCTCCAAGACGGCCGAAGAGGCCCCCAAGACCGCCCCAAGACGGCCCAAGAGACCCCCAAAATCGTCCCAAGACGGCCCAGGAGAGGCCCAGGAGCCGCCCAAGACGGTTCCAGGAGTGCCCCGACAGGGCTTCAAGACTGCCTAAGCGAGCCCAGCGTCCCCAAGAGGGCCCCGCGAGGCCTCAAGAGGCCTCAAAGAGGCCCCCAAGAGCCTCCCCGAAGGCCCCAGAGGCCCCCAAGATGCCCAGAAATGGCCCTGAGTGCGCCCCAAGACGCCTCCAGGAGAGCCCCACAGGCCTCCGAGAGGCCCAAAGAGGCCCACTGGAGGCCCTCAGGAGGTCGTCCCCATCATGTTCCTGGAAGGCGGTCCGGGAACATGATTCCGCGCCTTGGAGGAGTTTTCTGTGTTTTCCGAGGCGCCTTCCGAGGCGCCTTGGACGACGTACGTATGTTTCTATAGATTGTCCTTCTCCTGTTCACACAATCCTACATGTCTTGCGTATGTTATATATGTATGTATATATATATATACACATACATATACACACATATATATATATATGTAGATATAAATAAAAAGAGGCCCACTGGAGGCCCTCAGGAGGTCGTCCCCATCATGTTCCCGGAAGGCGGTCCGGGAACATGATTCCGCGCCTTGGAGGAGTATTCTGTGCTTTCCGAGGCGCCTTCCGAAGCGCCTTGGACGACGTACGTATGTTTCTATAGATTGTCCTTCTCTTGTGTACACAATCCTACATGTCTTACGTGTGGGCCTCTGTATGTGTATATATATATATACATATATATATATATATGTATATATATATATATATATATAGATATACCCCTCCCCCAAGCCCTCCCGAGTCGTGCCACTTCCTTCCACGCATTTCAAATTCTTCCCCATATATAGAGGCCCCCAAGATGCCCAGCAATGGCCCTGAGCGCGCCCCAAGACGCCTCCAGGAGAGCCCAACAGACCTCCGAGAGGCCCCCAAGAGGCCCACTGGAGGCCCTCAGAAGGTCGTCCCCATCATGTTCCCGGAAGGCGGTCCGGGAACATGATTCCGCGCCTTGCAGGAGTATTCTGCGCTTTCCGAGGCGCCTTCCGAGGCGCCTTGGACAACGTACCTGTGTTTATATAGATTGTCCTTCTCCTGTGTACACAGTCCTACATGTCTTACGTATGGGTCTATGCACATATATATATATATATATATATTATCATACGCACCTCTCCGAGGGAGTAGAGCTCAGAGGCGATTAATGCGCACGTCGTCCGCGATTTTTCTGGCCGTTTCGCTCGGGACATCCTCGAAATTCTGAAAATCGGTGGCACCCCTCACGCAGATCGTGACGTCAGGGTCCAAAAACACATGGGAATTTCAACATTTTAACATAAAACCTTCAAACACACATGGTAATTTCAATAATTTTGACCCCGATTCTCAGAGAATGGCGGTTTCGCCTGAGACATCCTCCCAAAATCGAGCCCCGGACCCCTCCTCGGAGCCTCCTGGGGGCCTCCTGGAACCTCCTGGGGCCTCCTGGGGCTTTCTGGACCTTCTGGTACCCCAGACCCCGCCTCGGAGCCTCCTGGAGTTCTCCTGGGCTGCTGAGGCCGCCTGGGGCCTCCTGGGGCCTCCTGGGGCTTCAGAACTACATGCACACACAGAGACACAAATTACGCCCAGCACATCACACGCTAGACAAACATAACATACACACACACAACACCGACAACACACAAAAAGCACGCACCACACAAAGCACACATCACACACACAACACTCACAATCCTGGGGCCTCCTGGAGCCTCTTCTGGTATCCAAGTCGGGCCTCCTGAGGCTTCCTGGGGGGCCCTGGTACACAGATCGCAAGGTGTGGCAACCCCACTTGCGCTCGAGTGCGACTTCGTCCCCGTCATGTTCCCGGAAGGCGGTCCGGGAACATGATTCCGCGCCTTGGAGGAGTATTCTGCGCTTTCCGAGGCGCCTTCCGCGGCGCCTTGGACGACGTATTACGTTTCTATAGATTGCCTTTTTCCTGTGTACACAATCCTACATGTCCTACGTATGGGCTTCTCTCTCTCTCTCTCTCTCTCTCCCTCTCTCTCTCTCTCTCTCTCTATATATATATATATATATCCCCCAAGCCCTCCCGAGTCGTGCCACTTCCTTCCACGTATTTCAATTCTTCCTAATATATAGAGGTCCCCAGGATGCCCAACAATGGCCCTGAGCGCGCCCCAAGGCTCCTCCAGGAGAGCCCCACAGGCCTCCGAGAGGCCCCCAAGAGGCCCACGGGAGGCCCTCAGAAGGTTGCCCCCATCATGTTCCCGGAAGGCGGTCCGGGAACATGATTCCGCGCCTTGGAGGAGTATTCTGTATATATATATACATATATATATATATATATATATATACATATATATCGGAGTAGGGCCCCGGGGCGGTGCCTGTCATCTCCATGGGGTGTGCAGGGCGCCCCCGGGAGCGTCCGAAGCGTCCCAGAGGGCCCCTGGGACCGCCAGGAACAGTTCGAGACCGCCCAAGACGGCCCGCGAGCGCTCCAAGACGCGCATACATAGCCTCAGGAATTGCCAGGAAGGCCCGAAGACGTTCCAAGAGAGCTCCATGAGGCCCCGAAGGCATCCCAAGAGGCCTCCCAAGAGAGCCCCGACAAGCCAAAATCGTAGATTTTTATTGTTTTTGTTTCGAGGTTTTTGGCCTTCTCGCTTTTTCGGAGTTCCGACGCTCCAAGACCGTCCAAGAGTCTCCGACCCCCCAAATCGTCCCAAGACGGCCCAGGAGAGCCCCAAGATGGCCCAGGAGCCGCCCAAGATGGTTCCAGGAGAGCCCCGACAGGGCTTCAAGACTGCCTAAGCGAGCCCAGCGGTCCCCAAGAGGGCCCCGCGAGGCCCCAAGAGGCCCCAAAGAGGCCCCCAAGAGCCTCCCCGGAGGCCCTCAGAGGCCCCAAAGATGCCCAAAAATACCCCTGAGCGCGGCCCAAGACGCCTCCAGGAGAGCCCAACAGACCTCCGAGAGGCCCCCAAGAGGCCCACTGGAGGCCCTCAGGAGGTCGTCCCCATCATGTTCCCGGAAGGCGGTCCGGGAACATGATTCCGCGCCTTGCAGGAGATTTTTGCGCTTTCTGAGGCGCCTTCCGAGGCGCCCT